TCCTCAAAAATTTCTGAGCTCTTATCAAAGGACTTGGTGATTTTCTGTGCAGTAGCCCATAGGGGTCTCAGGCTTTGGAATTGTGGAGGCCACTGGTTAGATCTTGGACAGTTAAGATGCTTGAATTTTGAATATGGAACAAGGAGATGGCAAGTGGGTGACAGCTCAGGGCAGCTGTCTTGTCTCCCATTGCTGCTGTCGGCAGTTGTCTTAGTTTGTAAAATAGAATTACACCCAATCAGCTGCTTGGCTGCCATCTATTCTCTCTCACTGTTCCCTTCCTTCACAGGAGATTGATTTCTGCAAGTTCTTTCACTTCAATCTAATCGAATGCTTAGTGTGTTCTGTAGTGAAGACCAAGTGTAGCTTTGCCAGTATGTTGCAACTTTGTGTGCTGGGTTTAGCTGGACCTTCAGCTAAATGGACTTGGAGATGCAGTGCTTCTGGCTGCCCAGCAGGGACAGCATTGGTAAAAGTAGGAGAAAAAGTAACAAGAGCTGCTTCAGCTGAGCCAGCCTGACACAACAGGGCAGAGAAGAGGTTTTTAGTTCTTATGCAGAGAAAAGCAGAGTAACTCTAAGGTGCAGAATGTCAGCGGCTCCAACACTTCCTCCTACATGTTAGAAACATAGTATGTGAGACGGTCTCCTACTCAGCAAGTCCAAACCCTTTTTCCATGTCAAAGCACTGTGAACAGTGATCTATAAAATAACTAGTTTTCTGGGTATTTGAAGAGTTCTGTAGCAGAGGTGGTAGGGCCTTCTGTCACCTACTGGAGATGGGAGTGCAAAAATCTCTAATTTAGAAGAGGGGTAATTTATTCCCCTTTCCCCAGGATTAACAAGTATTCCCAAGCATCTGATGAGCATAGCCCAGAAGCAAGGACTCTCTCCTGCTAACGCTTTTGGGAGTTATATCCTCTGGTTTGTAGCTCTTTATTGCCTTTAACTACACAGGGCCTGGTCTTCACGTACAGCAGCGCAGCTCTACTGTTGTATATAAAGCTGCTCCTGTACTGATGGGAGAGTCTCTCCTGTCAGCATAGTTAATCCATCTCTCCAAGAGGCAGTAGCTATGTTGGTGGGAGTTCTCCTGTCGACATGGCGCTGTCTATGTGGGGGGGTTAGGCCAGTATAAATGTCACTCAAGGGTATGGATTTTTCACACCCCTGAGCAAGGTAGTTGTACCCATATAGATGTGTAGTGTAGACATTGCCTTAGGGTATGTCTACACTTGCAGAGTTTTGCACCGTACGTTTCACTGGTGAGAGGGAACCGGTGAAAGAAAAGCACTGGTTTGTGTACTCCGGCATCAGAGAGTGTTTATACTAGCAGCACTTCATCAAGGATGAGAACAGTGTAGTAGGGCAGCTATCCCACAGTGCAGGTCTCTCGATAGGTCTTGTGGGATGGGGGCGTGAGCAGAAGGCATTCTGGGTCCCTGCTCAGTGCCCCGTGCTACCCTGCTTCATGTCCCAGCAGCCCCATTACTTCCCTGTTCCTTTCATGGCATTTTTTTAACCATCCCACCCCACCCCCCCAGGCTGTCTGGCTGCTTTCCCGCCACATCTATAAGGAAAGGGAGTCCCAAACTTCCTGGGGCTTATAGAGGGAGGGGCTAACATCCGTTAACCTGGCATCAGAGCAGTGGAGATGCTGGCCACAGTGGTCACTTTTTTGGAACTGTGGGATATCCTCCGGAGGCCAAAAGGTGTTTACACAGGTAGAACGTATCTTCACTTTCATAAAAGAGCAAAAAGAACAGTGGAAAGAACTGTCTGTCTCTCGTAAAGGTGGTTTTCTTTTTGCGGTGAAACGTCTAAGTTTCACCACAAAAAAGGGACATTTTGCCCTTTAAATGGCAAGTGTAGACATAGCCCTAGTGTTCCTTGGTCCTATGGTGTTAGATGTATCCCTTTTTCAATGGTTTGTCTCCATCTACTGGCAGAAAGAAACCATGTTCCATCTTTCTGGATGGTTAACTAGTTCTTTGCTTACATGAGTAACAAACCTGAACCCTTTTTCTTTCTTTAGGTACAGATTAATTGGACCGACTTCTGCCAGATGTGTGGTTGTGGGAAATGGAGTTGATTGGGATAAGGAGCTTTCACATTGCGAAGGTAAACTAATCTAATGGTTTTAAGAACGGTTCACATCTGGAGATGATGCAACATAGCTGGTGCTTCAGAGGAGTCTCTGTTCTTACTTTGGCATTTAATCCAAATGACAGTTGAGTTGCAGGGAGGAATGAAATCATACTGTGGTTCACCATGGTGTTTGGATGACTCCTACAGAATCAATATAAATATATATTTAAGTCCCTTTAAGATTGTGCACCTGGCACTGTTTCATATGCAGAGCCCAACAGGCTTCATGGCTCCTCTTCGCTATTGTATTTGTGTAATCCTGCTGTTCACTAAAGCCTTGTCTACGCTTGCAAGTTAGAGTGCATTAAATCAGCCTCGGGTGCCCTCACTCCTGAGGTGTCCACACTGGCAAGGCACTTAGAATGCCTGGACTCCGCAGCTGGAGCACCCCTGGTAATCCACCTCCATGAGAAGCATAGAGCTTACTGCACCCTGGCTGAAATGCCAGGCTGTCAGTGTGGAGGACATGTTGCATTACTGCACTGTGATTGGCCTCTGGAAATGTCCCATAATCCCTTGAAGTCAAGTGCCCACTCTGGTCATTGTTTTGAACTCAGCTGCAGGCATGTGGATATCCCCTTTCAAAGCTCCATTTCTGACAGCTGACATGCTTATTTGCTCCAGGACACAAAGCAAACAATTACTGTGGAATGTTCCTGCTGCGGAGGCAGGGGTGTGTGTGTGTGTGTGTGTGTGTGTGTGTGTGTGTGTGTGTGTGTGAGAGAAAGAGGCAGGCAGGCAGGCAGGCAGGGGTTGGGGGCTAATGTCAGAGTTTTCCTCCTTCCCCTTGCCGCTGTCTGAACTTACAAGACAGCATGCTGACACACTCTCTGTCCCCCAAAACAGTCTCTCCCTCCACATACACACAACACACTCCCTGTCACACTCCCCCCTTCCCCGCATTTGAAAAGCATGCTGCAGCCACTTTCACACTGGGATAGCTACCACAATGCACTGCTCTCTCTGGCATTGCAAGAGCTGCTAATGTGGCCACGCTACTGCGCTTGCACCTGACAGTGTGAACACACGGCAGCGCTTTCCCTGCTGCTGTCTCTAAGGGCCGGTTTAATTTCTGGTGCTCTACATCGGCAAGTGTAGCCAAGCCCTAAGTATAAGGCATGATAATGACTTCAAAAAGTTTTTACCCTTCCTAAATCTGACTATCCACTTAAAATCTGAGGCTCTTTGGGAGTGAATCACAATTAAATTGCCTCTACCTTAATTTGATCTCTTGGATGCTTTCTGGACTTGGTCTGTCAATCATGCTGCTGCTACAAGAAATGTCCTAGCTTAGTTTTCTGCTGGTGGAACAACACTACCTCTAGAGATGACGGGGAAGAGGTTCTGGCTCCCTGAGGCTAACATTGGGAAGGGGCACGCTCTGTTAAGGTCATCTTCCAGAGCTGGTGTTTTATGGAGCATCCTCCTTGAGCAATGGACGTACTGGGTTGGGTCAAGCCTAAAAGCAGAAAAACCTTCAGAATCTGAAAGGGGTCTTGCTTCAAATGTTAAAATGCAATGTTAAGTACCCTTCCAAATGGCTACATAGCTTTTGGAAGGGATCCGAAACAACTTTTAGTGAAGACTCCCTTCAGTGTAAACTTTAATTTTCATGTTGACATTCTTTGCTTCAGCAATACCTTGTCGTCCACCTCCTGATATCACCAATGGATCCCATACTGGTCAGAGTGAACAACAGTTTCTCTATGGCTCAGCAGTAACTTACAAATGTGACCAGGGCTTCTCTCTTATTGGAGAGGCCACCATTCATTGTACAATGAAAAATAATGTCGATGGAGAGTGGAGTGGGCCTGCCCCTGAATGCAAAGGTTAGTAGCATCTGTTTTTATCCCCTTCTTATTCTACTATCTCCTCCCAGGAAAAGCTATATTTTGATTGCTAAGTAAACCCATAAACCTGAGGAAATGTAGTTAGTGCTTAGTCCCCCTAAATACATATCATGAAAACTAGTTACTGTTGGAAAACTAAAGAATGACGGACACTTCATAAATCATTCCTGGAAACAGTTTTGCCTGTAATCCATCCTGGATTTTTTGTCTCTCTTCAGTGTTCAAAGATTGCAGTTAATTCTCATGTCACAAATGGTTGATTTTAGGTGGAGATAAACTCTTGAACTAAGGTTTTGCTTTTATGCCAGTGCCCTACTACTCAGTGCTAAAGGGGAGAGAGAGAGAGAGAGAGAGAGAGAGAGAGAGAGCTTTAGAAGCAGGATTGTTTGGGAACCATATTTTTCAGAACTCTCTGGGAGGGCTCCTTGGCAGTGAAGGCTCAGGCTTCTGCAAGTTCATATCACAGCCATAAAGTTCTTAGGAGGGGGAAATAAAGGTCATTGTACAATCCTCATTTGAGTGGCGGCAGTGCTCACGCACACTATTGCATTTAGCTAACAATGCATTTATGTACTTGGTACTCAAGCAGCTGCAACAACTTGGTTTTATTCTTGCTGAGTTACGCAGCCTAACAGCTGGGATGGAGGCTTTTTCAGAGGCATTAGGCAGGTTGGTCACCTCGCTACTTAATATTAACTCCCCCAAAAGCAGGGAAGTTCAGTTCCAGAATGTCATTGTATGTAGATCACTTATAGCTTGACCCAAATTCCTGATGTAATTCACTGTGGGGGGGTGGGGGAAGAGATAGGCCTGATAGCCATACAGTTGGGTGCTGTGCTGTATGTAGACTAACATCTTTTTAAAGGGAAAGATTGAAAGTTGCGTAACTTTATTTCAAAATACATTTTCATATCTGCTGTAGTCAAGTATCGAGGCTTTTTCTTCGTTCCTCTAACTGCTTCCTGTGCAAAACATTCTTATGCTGGTACTTTTAATTTTTCAGTGGTCAGGTGTCCAGAGCCTGAAGTCAAAAATGGGAAAAAGCAATCTGGGTTTGGACCTGACTATTCATATGGAAATACCGTAATATTTGAATGCGATTCTGGCTACACTCTGAATGGTAGCAGTTCAGTTAAATGTGAAGCTAACAATTCATGGGTTCCATCTTTGCCCACCTGTCTACGTAAGTATAAGCAGTTGTGTTGAGTCTTTTATTTGCTAATGTTTAGGAAGCTTATTGCCTTTGAGTAGCCATGTTAGAATGATGTAAAGTTTGAGTGTCTCTGTCCCTTTTTTGTCATAGGCATAACACATACTACACCTACAACTTCCCCTCCAGGAGGAACAAAAGATACTTCTGGTGTGTTGGAAGAACTTTTGGCTATTTAAAGCTTCCAGACATTTAGCATGTAGTTTCTACAAGACTGAAAATGGAAGTGTGAATTTCACACAGTACATTTCATCTCTAAGTTCTGGAATTTTGTCATTCACAATCGCTACCATAAGCAGTGTTCTCCCTCAGGTTTTAGAGCACAACCTATTTATTCTTATACCCTTCCTTGCATCCTCTTCTCAAATGCACTTGAAACAGCTTACTAGCTGTCCTATGCTGTGAGCATGTGTAACTTTCCTCATGAGGGCCCATAGGGTGAAGCATTCAGGAGAGGTTTAGCAGCTCCCACCTGAGGTTAGTGATGCATTCGAACAACAAGGAAATGGTACCCATTGGAGCCGTGCATGTGCCCTGAGCTGGCTCATTCCCATACCAAGTTGCCCTAGCTCCCGTCAGCTATTTCTCACTGCCTATGGTGAGTAGTCAGTCTCCAGTGAGCTCTGCGCACAGGATTTTTCCTCTAATGAAGTTGTAGCACTCACTGACCTGTTAGGATTATTTTCTTAAACATTTTCTTGGTTTCTCATCCAGGCAGTTGCTCAGAACTGGAGTGTTAGCATGCAGAATTCACCCAGTGTTTTGCACTGTTGCATTGGCAGGCTAGCAATACCCATTAGTTATCCATCTTCCTGGCACTTGAAGTATCTGGGAGGGGGTCATATCAGAGAAGTGCCAGATATGTAGGGCCTTCAAAAAGAGGACCCAAAAAGATAGAGGTGAGGTTGCTAGACTTCCTTATGAGTAGTCCTTTGAGACCTGCCCTGGCTCAAAGTTCTCTGGTACTGTTATGAGACCTACAGCCCAGAGAGTTGGTGACTCCAGTACCAACCACTGTGCTGTTGAGACCAGTATGTCTATTATTTTGGGCTGGGAATCACCTCCACTTTGGCACGGCTGCTCCCAGAGGTTCAATCAGCATTGTTGGTACCGAAGACATTAGACGCATATGCTGCAGCTTAAGATCTCCTGTGCTAGTTGGTGCCAGATTCTCTGTTCCTCCAGACTGCTGTGCAGGTTGCTGCATCAGTCCTATCCACAATGCTTGCCTGGGCACTGGCCTCGATACCATCTCTGGTACAATTGGCCCTGGCAATATTTGCCTAGGTCTGATCAATGGAGAGACCACCATTACTCTGCTAGCTTCCAATTCCTCCGTAGGTACTGGGGGCACAGGCACTGGTCTCGCTCTGTCTCCAGTGACTGTTCCTGTTACTGCACCACCATGGCCAACTGATTATTCCTTCTCACTTCTCAATCCCAGGTTGTTTCATGGTTTGCCTTTAGTGTATAGGAGGCCTTGAGTCACTCCCACTCCTTCAAGGACGTATTCTTGATCTTTTCAGAGGCATGGCTATAGAAGCAGGTGAAGAGAGAGCCTGTCTTAGATCTGTGAAAGCTGAACAACTTCATAAAGAAAATGAAGTTTCACACTTTCCTGGCTTCCAGCATGCTTCCCCTAGATCCTGACTAGTACGTTGCTTTTAGGGTTAGGGTTAGGCTGATCACAGCAGTTTCCTCACATTTGTAGTAGGAGGCAAACACTACCAGTTTTTCACAGTCCTCCCTTTTGGCCTGTCTTCAGCCCCCAGGATCTTTACAAAATGCATAGCGGGAGTCTTGGCCTGCCTCAGGAGAATCAATGTCCAGATATTGCTGTATTTGGACAATTGGTTGATTTGAGGCTATTTCAGACAACCTAAGACAGATCCAGTTGCTCTTTGACATCTTGGGCCTCTTGATGACCAAGAGTGAATCTATCCTTTCTCTGGTGCAAAGAATAGTGTTCTTGGGGGAGATTCTCAATTGGCAACAGCCTATCTACCCCGGCCAGATTTCAAGGAATTTTAATGTGTGTACACACACACACGCACGCGCACACACCCACACCCCACTCTAAGACTTTGCCTACGATTGCTGGAACATATGGTGGATTCAAGAGTCCTATTGGAGAACACTACGGCAGACTTTTACCTAAACGAACAAGGGTATGCCAGGTTCACCCAGCAATTCCAGAAAGAAGTCAGTCTTTGGAATGTTGTGAGTCCAGAATGCAGTAGCATTCAACACGTCCCATCTTCTTGGGATACAGAATTCCCTGGCAGAACTCCTTACCAGATCAATCAGGATTGATCGCAAATGGTCTCTGAAAACTAAGAGATCAATATTCCTGTCTTATGTCGGAGTTCCCCATGCTCTGCAGAACAGGAAGTGCTATCAGTTCTGTTCCAGAGTGAGTTACTGTCTGGGATATCTCACAGATGCATTTCTGCTCCCAGGGAACATCCAATATGCTGTATTTACTTCTACAGTCTCTTGCATCTGAACTCTCTCAACCAGACCATTGACTTGCCTTTTATTTGGATAAGACTTCACATCTTTTGCATAAGCAGAAAGGATGAAGGGGCAGGCAGTTTTAGCCCCAACCATCCCTAACTGGATTACAACCTGCATATTCATATGTTAGGATGCTGCTAAATCCATACCACCTTCAAAGGTTTCAGCGCACTCCATAAGAGCACAAGCCATCTCAATAGCCCTTTTTGATGAATGTCCCTGTGTTGGACATGTGCAGAGCTGCTCCTTGTTTCTCAGTTCATACTTTCACCAAGCATTATGCCATCACGACAGCTTCTACTGATGGTGCAGGCTTTGGGAAGGTGTTTCCTACAATCCCTCTTTAAATTGACTCTGAGCCCCTCCTCCATTGTATACTGACTGGCATCCCTACAGAAAATTCTCTGGCTCAAGTGCCTGAGGCATGTGCACACTTAACATGGAATAAACATGTGCGACACATCTTGAACAGTTACAGCACAGTTGAGTAACCATTTCCCCACTTATGATGTTCTGTCTGCACAACCTCTCAAGCAACTAGCTGTTTGGGATGCTTACTTGCTTAGTCAAAATAAGCAATGAAACCAGTCTGAGGGAACATCCAAAAATGGTCTGTTTAGTAGAGTTTGTGGAAGGCTAGCTGAAACTGCATTGGAAACTAAGAAGACATTCGATGGCTATAAAGAAAGGGTTCTTTGTAGCCATGATAGAAGGTGATCGCCTTCTAGGATGAGATAACTGGCTATGTGGCTATAGGGAAAGCATGATCTATCTTGACTTTAGCAAAGCTTTTGACAGTCTCCCACAGTATTCTTGCCAGCAAGTTAAAGAAGTATGGTTTGGATGAATGGACTATAAGGTGGATAGAAAGCTGGCTAGATCGTCTGGCTCAATGGGTAGTGATCAACAGCTCGATGTCTAGTTGGCAGACTGTATCAAGTGGAGTGCCCCACGGGTTGGTCCTGGGGCCGGTTTTGTTCAACATTTTCATTAATGATCTGGAGGACGGCGTGGATTGCATCCTCAGCAAGCTTGCAGATGACACTAAACTGGGAGGAGTGGTAGATACGCTGGAGGGTAGGGATAGGATACAGAGGGACCTAGACAAATTAGAGGATTGGGCCAAAAGAAATCTGATGAGGTTCAACAAGGACAAGTGCAGAGTCCTACACTTAGGAAGGAAGAATCCCATGCACCGCTACAGGCTGGGAACCGACTGGCTAAGCAGCAGTTCTGCAGAAAAGGACCTGGGGATTACAAGGGACGAAAAACTGGATATGAGTCAGCAGTGTGCCCTTGTTGCCAAGAAGGCTAAGGCATATTGGGCTGCATTAGTAGGAGCATTGCCAGCAGATCAAGGGAAGTGATTATTCCCCTCTATTGGGCACTGGTGAGGTCACATCTGGAGTATTGCATCCCGTTTTGGGCCCCCCACTACAGAAAGGATGTGGACAAATTGGAGAGAGTCCAGCGGAGGGCAACGAAGATGATTAGGGCTGGGGCACATGACTTACGAGGAGAGGCTGAGGGAACTGGGCTTGTTTAGTCTGCAGAAGAGAAGAGTGAGGGGGGATTTGATAGCAGCCTTCAGCTACCCGAAGGGGGGGATCCAACGAGGATGGAGCTTGGCTGTTCTCAGTGGTGGCAGATGACAGAACAAGGAGTAATGGTCTCAAGTTGCAGTGGGGGGGAGGTTTAGGTTGGATATTAGGAAACACTATTTCACTAGGAGGGTGGTGAAGCACTGGAATGGGTTACCTAGGGAGGTGGTGGAATCTCCAGCCTTAGAGATTTTTAAGGCCTGGCTTGACAAAGCCATGGCTGGGATGATTTAGTTGGTGTTGGTCCTGCTTTGAGCAGGGGGTTGAACTAGATGACCTCCTGAGGTCTCTTGCAACCCTAATCTTCTATGCTTCTATGATTGCATATTACAGATGTGAATATGTGCAGGATTAATGGTTTCATGCCTAACCAAGAATAAATGTGCATTTTAGCTTGACCAGGGGGGGCCAACCTGTGGCTACGGAGCCACGTGCAGCTCTTCAGAAGTTAATATGTGGCTCCTTGTATAGGCACTGACTCTGGGGCTGGAGCTACAGGTGCCAACTTTCCAACGTGCCGGGGGCTGCTCACTGCTCAACCCCTGGCTCTGTCATAGGCCCTGCTCCCACTCCACCCCTTCCCGCCCCCTCCCCTGAGCCTGCCGTGCCCTCGCTCCTCCCCCCTCCACAGCCTCCTGCACACCACAAAACAGCTGATCAGAAGGTGCGGGGAGGGAGGGGGAGGCTCTGGGAGCCGAGGGGGAGTGCTAATGGGGGGGACGCTGCTGAGGTATTACTGTGGCTCTTTGGAAATGTACATTGGTAAATTCTAGCTCCTTCTCAGGCTCAGGTTGGCCACCCCT